TAGCTGTGTGACCCTTAAACCTATTTCCCTCAGTTTCCTCATCTGTAAAATGAGTTGGAGAAGGAAATGGCAAACACCCCAGTATCTTTGTCAAGAAAATCCCATAAGGATTCAGAGTCAAACCCAACTAAAATGATTAAACAACAACAAAAGAAAATTTAAAAAGATGCATACTCACCAAAGGTGTTTACCTCTATAATGGAGATCCAATCCCAAGTCCAAGTTAAAGAGGATTCCCTATGGATGGGGAGGGAATGTGTTTCTATTTGCCAATGATAGTGTGCTGGTTACACCTAGTCCTAGAATATTGTACCCTCCTTCCCATATAGTCCATACCTTCTGCTGAGGTTTCTTAAGTAAGAGAAAAACACTCCTTTCCACTCATTCATTTGATTGACTCTCATGGTTCCCTGCCTTCCCATGTCACCTCCTGGGGCACTCTAGTGACTAGGGCCAGACTAGACAAATTACAGAGAATGTTCAAGAAAATACCAGAAACATTAGCAGAAAAGAAAGGGCAACGCTTGTGGCCACTGCCAATAACCTATCCTGACTGCAAAGGCTAGTAGGTCCCTATTAAAAATAGATATTGTAAGTATGATCCCTACTTTAAACATAAGGAAATTGAGACTCTAGAGAGAAAGTGATTTGCTTGAGGTCACTCATCTAGAAGCTAGCAGAGTAGAAACTAGGCTTTCTCACTAGAAAGCTAGTGTTTTTTCCACTACACTTAAATGACTAATGATCTATAAGGTCCCTTCTGGCTCTGATATTTTATAAATTCTGTGATTTTTTTTTAAATGACTTGTTCTGTGACCCGAGGAAAGTCACTTGAGTTGAATTTCCTCATCAGCATAAAAGGAGAAAGTTAGGTGAACTCCACCATGAATTTAAAATTTCCAAGGCAAAGTAATGAACCTGGAGAGTATGGGATGTACTCAGTTGGCCTTAATTCATTTTTCAGTGCAAGCAGAAGGTGTTGTCTGGACTAAAGCTACTTGGTTAACCTTGCTCATGAGTGACAAGCTAGGCTATTCGTCTGGATTCTTGCCTTTGCACTCCATTCCTTAATCTTCATTTGTAGAACTAATGGGGCAGAGGGGAGAAGGAATGGGTAGAATCAAGGCCCAGGTCAATGCCAGACAAAGACTTACTGAGTGTCCTATGACAAGAGATCATAGAATTTGGAGTTAGAAGAAATTGTAGAGGTTATCTACTCCAACCCCTTTTTCATCAGGCCTAAAAATTAAGTGACTGACCTAAGGTCACATAAATAATTAACGGCAGAGTCAGGATTGGAACCCAGGTCCTCTGACTCTAAATGCTGTTCTTTCACTGCCCTGTTGAGTTAGTTAAATGGATTTGTGGTCTCATCAATTTAGATGTTCCCTCCAATGATAATAATAATAGAAAATTATTTATTTTATTTTATTAATAACAATTATTTTAAAACAACAATATTGGTGACATGATAATGATGATGATGATACGTGTTAGCTAAATGGCTCAGTGGATAGAGTCCTAGATTTGCAGTCAGAAAGAGCTGAGTTCAAATCTTGTCTCAGATACTTATTAACTATGTTACTGTGGGCAAGTCATCTAATCTGTTTGCTTCAGTTTCCTTATCTGTGAAACGGGGATAATAAGAGCATCTACCTCCCAGGGTTGTAGAGAAGATTAAATCAGCTAACATTTGTAAAGTTTAGCACAAATCCTGGCACATAGCAGGCTCTTAATAAATGCATGTTTCCTTCCTCTAATGATAATAATAATAACACCAGTAATGATGACATGACCATGATAATGATGATGACAATGAGTTGCAGCTAGGTGGTAGAGTGAATAGAGTGCTGCAACTGGGTTTGGAAAACCTGAGTTCAAATCCAGCCTAAGTTGCTTAACCTTTCCTGGCCTTGGTTTCTTTATCTGTAAAATTAGTATTGAAATTAGCACCCACCTCATAGGAATATTATGAAGATCAAAGTAAATAACATATGTCAAGTGCTTTGCAAACCTCAGAGTGCCCCATATACATGATGGCTATGATGATGATAATTACATAGATCATAATCCACCAATGCTTGTCTGCCCTCTGCAACACTCACCCATGTTCTTCCCTGTATATACAGAGAGGGTTGGGGAGGGGGTTGTGGAATGGGCAAGGAAGTAGTCCATTTGCTGGGAGCCTTCATTCACAGTGCTAAGATACCAGTGGAGCACACAACCTGTCTGGTGGTTATCCCTCCCTAGGGCCATTGACCAACCATCTGGTTTTTTCAATCAGACCTTTCTTTGGTAACATCCTTTGCTTTGGTTCTTCTTTGTAGTCTCTTATTCACTGTTACTGACTGCTCACACCCATCAAGCACTTTTCTATCACCCTTGAGTGATACTCAATATATCTATATTATTTCTTGGGGTCTATAATATTTCTTGATCCATAAGCATATATCAACCCTGGTAAAATATTGGTATTGAGGATAACAGGCTTCATTCCAGGGAGGAATTTTGGGTCATTGAAGGGAGCTCTGAAATTTCCCATCAGCAATCCTGCTTTCTTTCCTCTGCGTACTTAATTCTCTACCTTTTTCATTGTTTGTTTGCGATGCTGTCCAAGGTGTACGTATACAGATGGATTAGCTCTACATGTTCTTCATCTATCTTCATGTTACAGTCTGAATGATAAGTATTATTTGTTCACTTAGTTTTTCCCGTGTGGATGATTAGACTAAACTCTTTTGAGTGGTTATAGATTGTATCTGGGAGGCTCGGCAACATTCCAGGGCATGCTGTAACCAGCATTATGTCCTCTGTGAAAAGGTACATTCTGAAGCCCCTTACCACTCACAGGGAATTCCTACTCAGCTTGAACTCTGCTCTAAATTTCTTCCGTGACTGTGACAAGTGCTTTTAGTGAGTATATATCCCCTTGGTTTGTACCTTACCTGATATCAATAATGCAAAGGAAGGAGAAAGAAAGGAAGAGAAGTTAGTAAGCATTTATTAAGTACCTGCTATGTGCCAAGCACTATGCTAAGTGCTTTACAAATACTATCCCATTTGGTCCTTACAACAACTCTGAGAGGTCAATGCTATCATTATTTCCATTTTACAGTTGAAGAAACTGAGGCAGACAGAGCTTGCCCAGGGTTACTCTGCTAGTAAGTGTCCAAGGGCAGGTTTGAACTTAGGTCTTCCTGACTCAAATGAGATTATTTTTGTTGTTATATCTTTCAAGGAATCCTGAATAATTTTTATGGATTTATGAGACAAACCTCGTTGGAAAAGAGCTTTTAATGTAGTGTTTTTCCCTATGAAATCAAATGCTTTTCTATAATCAATGAGCAACAGCCACAGTGGGATGTGGGATTCTCTTCATTTTTCAGTAAGTTCTACTATGGAATAAACCTAGAAAGCTTGCCTGCTCCCTATTGATACCTTCATCAAGGCTGCCTTTGATGTGTGTGTGAGATTATTCTCATAAAGAATTGTACATAGATGGAGATGTGGGCATGTAGGTAGGTAGTTTTGACGTCCTTTTAACTGATTGTTATTAATAAAGTTAATTTTTCTCTTGCTTTTGGTATTTTTTTCTCCTTCAGATACTTTATGAATTTAGCCTTACAATTGAGTCACCTACAGAATACATCTCCTCTAAGTACACTTTGTCTGCTTTAGCTGCTCTTGATGTCATTGTTCTCATTAGTGGTGCCTCTCCTTTCCGAGCACATCCAGGACCAGAGGTGAAAAAGCTTTGTTATAAAATATACTTGCAGTTTTCCCCCCATTTTTTTCTACGTCTTATCATCCTACTTCCATTTCCCTCTTTAAAAGCCCTTGGGATGACTTTGCTGACTTGGGTCTGTCATCAAATGCTCTTTAAACTGGCTTTTACCATCCCCTGTTTCTTTCTGTTTTATGAGGTAATACTGTTTATCATCTTCTATCATCCTTTCTATTAGACTTCACCAATTATCTTATACTCTAAACCAATACTGCCCTTGATGGCCATCAATCTTCCCTTGGCAAGTAAGGCAAATGTTTACTGATTGACTCCTCATTATGACACACTGATTTACATTGGTTAAAAATCTACATGAAATCACTGTGGTCAGTCAGCTAATAAGCATTATTATGCACCTATTATGTGTCAGGCACTGTGCTAAGAATTGGGGATACAAAGAAAGACAAAAGACAGTCCCTGCCTTCAAGGTGTGTAATGGAGGAGACAACATGAAAACAACTATATACAAAGAAGCTATAGACAGCATAAACCAGAGATCATCAACAGAAGGGAAACCCTAGCATTAAAGAGGCTGAGGAAGGGCTTCTTGTAAAAGATGGGATGACTTGAAGGAAGCCATGGAAGTCAGGAGGTAGAGATGAAGAAGGAGGATGTTCCAGGCATGGAGGACAGCCAGAGAAAATGCTCCAAGCCTGGAGTTGGAGTCTAGACAGTGTCTATGTCATTTCTTCCATCTATATCACATTCTTTCATCTAAAGACAGTTTAAATAGGCCAGTATTGTATAGTTTTAATTTCACATTCTTTTTTTATTTTTTAAATTTCTTCTAGCTCTGTACTCATTCTGAAATTTGCTCTAATAGGTCAGTTAATGGTTTGACTCTACATAAACAGCTGATGCCCACAACAGGAAGAGGTTCTTTTTCTGTCTATTAGATTGTAAGCTCCTGGAAGGCAGGGACTGTCTTTTTGCCTCTTTTTGTATACATAGTGCTTAGCACAGTGCCTGGCACATAGTAGGCACTTAATATGTGTTTATTGACTGAATGTCATTTTTTAATGTTTTGGGTGCTTGCAATTTCCAGTGCCCTCTAAATACTTTCCTCAAAGAAAGTATTCATTATACACTGTAACAAGACTTCTGTGTAGTCTACAGGTCTTTGTCCTCTCTCATTCCATATTCCCAATCCATGTTTTCTGATATATTTCTCATCATCCCAACCCCCATTCTTACCTTTGCACTGAAGTTGCCGAGTATCAAAGTATATTTTGCTTTAATATGGATGGTCTTATCAAGTTCTTCATAAAATTTCTCTATTCATCTTCTGGAACAGATGTTGGTACATAAGCTGCAATTATTTTCATGGTGGTCTTTTTTGCAAATACTTATCACAAGCACTATAATTACAGATTGCAATACATATTTTACTGCTTGATCAGGCCAAATATTTCATGAAATTTTTGTTGCCTGTAGGATCCCAATCAAACCAACCCCTCTAACTCCTTTGTTTGCCTCTCACCAACCCTGTAAGCCATTCCTCCATTTAGCTGGAAATACCTTCTTTCTGCTGGGTTTGTTTGTAGTGAGAATATTAAGGTTGATAGGATTTGGTTCTTCCAGTGGCACGTTCACTCATTGGCCACAGGACCAGGTTCTCACATTTATAGACCCAATGGCTATGTTAAAGTTTACAATCAATCTAAAAACTGTGATTCTTAGCCCCTTCTACCCTGTATGCCTCCACCCTGCACCTCACTGCAGAAAGGGGCTGCATAGTGCCTGAGGATCATTTTGTATTTTTAAATGGATGTCCATAACCAAATAATTCACCACCAAGTGGTCAGCCTACTCTCCTCTGATTAAAAACTGGCATTCCTTTATCTGACCACAACCTCCTATCCATTCCTCCCTATGCCTCCTCCTTTATATACCTATTCTTTGCCCTCAGCAAGACCTCCAATTCCTCTACTCTCTCAGTACTTTCTCAAGCCATCCCCATTCTTTGACTTATCTCCCTCTCCAATCTTGATTCTTAGCCAACTCAGGACTATACTGCCCTCTGCTTTTGAATTTCATCTTTTTGTCCTATCGCTTTCTTTATTGTTGTTCAGTCATTTTTCAGTCATATCTAATTCTGTGGCCCCATTTGGGGTTTTCTTGGCAAAGATACTAGAGTGATTTGCCATTTCTATCTCCACATATTGCCACTCATCCCTTGCCAAAGTCTCAGTACTGGAGGATGTCGACGTTTCATCCATTATTACTCATATGATACTTAAAAGGAGCTGGAGGGAGTCACACAACTCTGCTAATTTTGTGTTTTGTCATTAATGTCATCCAACTTCAACCACACCCTAACTGCAATAAAGCAATTCTTTTATTCTTCCCTCATTGATTCCCTATCTCATTTTCCACAAAGTTTTTTTCCAAACTTTTGCTCTCCTCAAGATTCCCATATCATTATTCTCCCCTCTCTCTCTGCTGATAACTTTGGCATTTCTCTTAAGTTCTCTATTCTTCCATTCTTTTCATGTCAAAATCATGACATTATATCCCACCCTCTCTTTCTTGCTCCCAGTCTCTGACAATGAGGAGGTATTTCTGCTTGCCAAAGCCAAGCACTCTACATGTGCCCCTGATCCCACTGTCTCCTCCAGAAAACTGCATCCTCAATTAGCCCATCTATTTCTCTGCCTCCCATTTACTTGTTCCTTACCTGTTGCCTCCAAACATGCCCATCTTCCACTTCCCTAAAAATTTTTCACTAGATCAGAGGTTCCCAAACTTATTTGGCCTACCATCCCCTTTTTAAAAAAAAAAAAGTTACTCAGCACCCCCCTTGAAATCTACTTTCTTTAACCCTTTAAGGGTTTTTTTAAAATTGCATGATTTCAAAAAATATAAATTTTTAAAAATGATACATCTTAAATTTAATATTTTTTTGGAAATTTGTGGGGGTTTTCCTACATTGAAATTTTGCTGACACAATATTGCTCCATGTACCCATCATATTATAAACAAGTCATCACACACACATATTCCTGCTGATGCATGCTGAATTTCCCAACAGTGCACAACACACACACCTGCCAATACTTGCTTGTTAAGACCTGTCAGCAGAATTGACCAGTGATAGCTTATAACCTGCATTTTGTGTGTTTATTTAGAAAATAATGTAATCACTATAACTTTAACTCTGTTACACAACAGATGAAACATGTACAGATGGTTTTTCAACATTTTCTTGTCTTCTCTTCATTCCTTATGCTTCCACTGCCTCCTTATTTTTATTCAACATCCCCCAATTGCACCCAAGGCTACTACTGGATCCCTGGAACATTCCAGCACCTCCCCAGGGTGGTATCACCCACTTGGGGAATCTATCTACTAGATCTTATTATCCCCTGAAGATATCATCCTATATTTCTTCTCTATTTCTCAGACAAACTCCTAGTAAAAGCTCTTTATATATCCACTTTTTCTGTTCTCATTCACTCTTAACCTTTTGCAATCTGGCTTCTGACCTTATCATTCAAACTGTTCTCTCCAAAGTTATCGATGATATCTTAGTTGCCAAACTAATGATCTTTTCTCATTCCTCACCCTTATCAATCAATCTGTTGGATTTGACTCTGTTGATCACCCACTCCTTCTGGATACTCTATCTTTTTTGTGACTATTAATATCCTCTCCTGATTTTTCTCCTACATGTCTAATATCTTCTCTTTTGCTGATGCATCATCTGTATCACTCTT